CGAAACCCACTGCTTGGTCTCCTTGCTGCTGCTGCCGAAGGCGAGCTGCACCTCGCATAGCGCTCTGCACCCTATCCCAGCCTATCCCTCGACCAATCTCTGGTGGGAAAGTGCTGGCCGGGATAGGTCATTTTTGGCACATCCGCTAGGGGGTCCTGAATGCAAAAAGGCTTCAAGCTTCAATAAGCTGATATTAAACTGCGCAAAAACGCACTCAAATGTCCCTTGCAGGCATCCTTGGTGGATCTTGTTAGTTACTGCTGATCCTTGCAGATTGCTCCAGCCAGGTTTGGGATCGCTAATCGGCCTTTGCCCTAGGTATTCCAGCCACACTGTTTTCATCTTTAATGGGGAAGCCTGCTTTGAGAAGGAAGGCCCTGAACCATCACTGCTTGAGACATGTCATTTCATTCCAAGTGTGGTAACTCGGGCCTTGCTGCCGACATTGGGCTGCGGCATGCGTGTCAAACCCGTGCGTGCTCAAATGTTACTGCTTTGATTTTGCAACGGCGGCTCCCTCAGCCCCGCCTGACACTCCCTCCCAACGGCGCCACAAACCTCATAGACGTCCCCAAGCAAAGCCAGCTGCATGTTCCGTGGCTCTGGGGCACTCCTGCACTAGTGGGCAACAAGCATGGGTCAAAACTAAACCCATAGGGCAATATGGGACCGCAGTCCTTGATTCCATTTACCAGGATTCCCTTTTAGTAACCCCTTTTTGACCCACAGCTGTATTGCGGTGAGAGTCTTTCGGCCGTTGTGAGCACAGGCCGCAGCGAATACTTCGAACCGTCTCGGTCCGTCACACTCCAGCGAGCCGCGCGAGTGCATTGCTACTACTACCTCTCTCTGAAGAGTTCGAGGTCAGGGCGTTTAGATCCCCATTTTATGTAAAGCAGCCAGCATTGCAGTGGCCATCGCGACAATGCAAGGCCTTCAAGATGGCCAATCTGCGTCGTTCATCAAAACAAAGCCAAAATCTAAGCCCCAATCTACTGTTGCATTTGAGGGAATATCAAAACACAAGTCTATTGCCTTCCACCTGCGTGGGAGCACAATGTGCCACGTGGATGTCATCGCGCTTGACAAGGTACAGCTGCTGCGATTGCCGTTTCATTGTGCTGATGATTTTAGAGATAAACCAACCTGGCGAATGAAAGGCCTGACAGTGAATGAGCCCCAGTCAAATGCACAACACCCCACTAGTTGTTTGCTTGATAACTATTGAGCTAGTTGAGGTTACTATACCTTCCTGGACCCGTGATGGAGCAAACGCAAAAACAACAAATCAGCCATATGGGAAAATGAGCGGGTCCCCGTGTTTGTGGGAAATTTCGTGAGTTCCCCATGCCCCCACGTGAACCCAAGCCGTCTGACTTGTTGAGACCAAAGCCCACATGACCCGGGCTCCTGGAGGTGGTGATGCCTGCCGGCATCATGGTCTCGTCCGCCCCGAGGCGCTCCACCCGCCCGGAGATGAGCAGCTTGCCCTTGAAGAAGTTGGGCTTGATGTTCTCCCCGCTCTTCGAGATCTGCTTCACATCCGGCACCTGCCAGGAGAAAAACCATGAGGCAGATATGAAGACCGAAAGAAGAGCGCGCTTCTCGGAGTGAGGAGGCCTACGTGGAGAAAATGGGAGGTGTGCCGCTGTGCGCCTTCCCTCTAGCATTGCAACCACTCTGGCACAGTGGCCTCAATCCGCAGCTGGAGGATTCAGCACAGCAACCCTTTGTAGGGCCGCAAGGCCAAAGTCAAAACTTTGGAAAGTTCCATCCTGGAACGCTGCACAAACACCAAACCAAGAACAACAGTCAAACCAAAAACAACACCAAGTCTAGGAGACGCCCTGGGTCTTTTCCACAATTGCCAGCCTCTTCAGGGTCCCAGCCATAGAGGCAGAACCACCTGGCCGGCAAACTGTTGTTCCTCAGCTCGCTAAATGAGATGAGGCCCTGCGCCAGCAGGGAGTCCGGCGTCATGGTGAGGGCAGAGCCCCCACTCCATAGCCTTGCGATCTCTCTGACGCGGAGTGGAGTCTGGGAGGGTACCCACTCTTGAGGCTTGGTTGGCAACAAGGAAAGCACCTGCTTTGGCGTTTGGTGAAAAAGGAGTCTGAAACTCTATCAATGCTTTGATGCGGACCACGGCTGCCCTGAAGCCCAAAAAGCGGCTGGAATTCTCCTTCTGACGGTTGACGCCATACACCACCCCAACTCTGAACATGTCATTCCACTCTGTTTCACCCCCAGTTCCCCCCACCCCAATTTCGAGAAGCCGGCAAGTATCGTGTTCGGCTTAGCTATTTGTGTCAAAGGCTACGAGTGCTGACGAGGGCGCTTGATGAGGATGGTATCCTCGTAGACCGGGGTTTGCACCGGGATGCGTGCACACTCATTCCAGGTGTATTGCTCCACATCGTAGGCTGGCGTGGTCTTCACGCAGGCGCCTCCGAACTCCACAGTGACAAAAGGGTTGGGGTTGTAGCCCCCGACCTGCGCGAGGCTATGCCTATGCTCCAACACCAGCTGCAAGGCAGATTGCATCCTACCAACACTTGAATAACTTTGCCCAAGTTGGTGCCCCCCTGTCACCTTGCTGCTGGACAACAGAAGCATCTGACATCTGACGATTATTTGAATTGTTTTGCGCAACGTCGCACCGCAAAGCCCCTCGCTGCGAAACGCAGGTCGCGGTCTGAACCGCCCGCCGGCCTTGGCCAAGTTTTCGGCCCGGTAAATGTTGATCAGCGCGTGGTAGGATTTGCCCGCCTGAGCTGCTTTCCACAGGCCGCGGTTTCCACAAGCCAGGGAATATTCTCAAGATTGTGCTGGGAAGAATCCTTCAAAGGCACTTAGGGGTGGTCTCAACATAGGGCCCGTTTTGGGAAGGTACCAACATCCAAAAACACCCCAACAAAAAAAAGCATTCAAGCACCTCTATTTTCAGAAGCAAATCCAAAGATCTGGCTTTGCGCCATCCGGAACGAAGCTTTTCGGGGCCGACTGCCTGCCTCGCCGGCTGCGGAGGATCCGAGGACGGCTTTGCTCAGATCCTCCAGGTCCTCCGCCGCGTCGGCCTCCTCCTTCACCTCCTCCCCCTGGGGCGCGGACTCCCCCGGCTTCAGGCAGAAGGTCGTCAGCGTCATCACGCCTACAGGCAGCAGCCAGTACTTCGGCAGCTGTTCAAATCATCCATGAAAATCTGCAGGTGTGGTGCAGACCAGGCGCCAAGAAGTGCGAATGCCCCATCATCGATTCTTTTTGATAAGGAGAGAGCTCAGCAGCTTCATTCAGCGGCAACGGTTGGAAACAAAAACCAAGATGGCACTTGCCCAGGTGGAAGATCTCAAGGCAATGTCCCGTCTGGACCACAATGTGCATTTCGAAACTTGTTAGATTTGGGGAACCTCTCGAGCGAAACTAGGGCCGAACGTGTTGGCCAAACCATCCGGAATGCGAAGCGGAAAAAAGGCTTCAAGCGGCGACACCACTCTTCGTCCCATTCTTGCAACACGTTTGAGGCGTCTATGCTTGTGCTGTTGCCGTCTAACACAAAAGGAAACCTGGCAACTCTTGCCGCTGCCAAACGGAGTAACTCAGATTGTCTTCACGGCAAATCCCTCGCGCTCGTCAACGCTGTCAGCATTCCCCGTGCACGTCCTGCCTGTTGCCGCGGTTTCACCCTCCTTGCGGAGCGGCAAGGCCTTCTTCATGTACACGTGGCCTGCCCGAACAAGCCATCTCGTGTGCCAGAGTGTATCAACGTGGAGGGTCAAGGTCTACGCTACGTATGCTGCTTGGCTCGTCTGCCTGTGTGGCCAATCCAACCTTACCCCATGCCAATGACGATCTCATATCTTGGCAGGCTTGTGGTCAGAAACCAGCTGCAACGCACAAAATGCCCAGCCTTGCCGTGCATTGATGCTTTTCAGCTGCAGAGAGGCCTTCCCGATGAGATAGTTTCGAGTAAACC